ACAGATATGATAAAATAAGATAACAAAATATATAAATATATAAATAAATAATTAATAAATTTAAAAATAAAATAGAGATAACAACACCAATAGTTTCATAGACTTTTCTTTTTAATTAAGTATAAATATTTGATCTGTTTAAAAGTAGAAAATTAGCTGAAACGTTTATAAATTCTATCGACTCCTCCTTTAATGAGGAGACGAATTGGTTTGTAAACCGAAATTAGTTAATATAAATTAATTAAACATAAATTACCAATTAAGTGTGGGAAAATAGTTAAATTAAATATTTTCAAAATAGGTCAACAAGTATGGAATCTTAATTATTTAGACGATCTGAGTCAGAAAAATAATTTTTTGAAAAAGGAAATTCTACAGTAGTTGATCTACATTAATATGTGAGTTATGGTGATTAATTCATCACATGATAATTGGCATCGGCATGACTCACATGTGACTATAACCCGTGAGACAAATACATGATGTGATTTGATTGGTACGATGTGTTTAAAGATCGGCAACCTAAATTTTCTAAGGTTTCTGTTGATCCCAAAAACGTGAATATTTCTAAAAGGATAAATTAAATTTGCTTTGGGCGAATTTTTTTTTGGGTGATTCCTTTAAGGAAATTCTGCAGAATTTTCTTTTTGGGCGTGTCCTATTATGGGCAGATCAACATTTTCTTATTTTCATGGGTAAAATTTCTCAATTCCCATTAGGGTTAGGGTTTTGTTGTTTAAATGCTTTTAATGAAGTAAAATATCAATTGGCGTTGAGCTCGTGGCAGATTGATTATTAGTCAAAATGAATTGAAGAAAATCAAGATGGTCTACTCCACCTCAACCCTCGAACGCAACGGTTATATATACCTAATTCCAATAAGACGTGGCACAAACAGAGGTCATTGATTTGTAGTGCTTTACGTGCCTAAGAAAGGAAAGGCGATACATCTGAGATAAATTACCAAAGAAAGCGACATACTATTATTTTAACAAGGAAAAAAGCGAAAGGCATGGTGACTCCAAGTTTTAAAACACTAATAGTTTCATAGATTTCTCTTTTTAATTAAATACAAACGTTTGATCCGTATGAAAACGGAAAATTGGCTGAAACGTTTATAAATTTCATCGACCCCTCCTTTAATGAGGAGACGAATCGGTTTGTAAGCCGAAATTAGTTAATATAAATTAATTAAACTTTAATTTCGGTATAACCCAAATGCGATAAATTTTAATTAAATTTAGACTATTAATAGAATTTTAATTAAAAATATGATCCAAAATTAGTAATTTTTAATTAAACTTAACGGTTTAGGGTTTTCCGAAGGAAAACCCTAAACGGGAAAGTTTTAATTAAAACTTTAAATTACTAATTAAGTGTGGGAAAATATTTAAATTAAATATTTCCAAAATAGGTCAACAAGTATGGAATCTTAATTATCCAGATGATCTGGGTCAGAAAAACAATTTTTCTGAAAAAGGAAATTCCGCAGTAGTTGATCTACATTAACATGTGAGTTATGATGATCAATTCATCACATAATGATCGACATCGGCATGACTTACACGTGACCGTAACTTGTGAGACTAACACATGACGTGATTTAATTGGAGCACATGTACATAGATCGGCAACCTAAATTTTCTAGGATTTGTGTCGATCCCAAAAACGTGACCATCCCTAAAAGGAGAAATTAAATTCGCTTTGGGCGAATTTCCTTTTTGGACGACTTCTTTATGGAGATTTTGCAGAATTTCCTTTTTGGGTGTGTCCTATTACGGACAGATCGCCATTTTTCCATTTTCATGGGTAAAATTTCCCAATTCTCTTATTAGGGTAAAAAATGAATTTTATGCTTTTGTTGGAATAGAAGTATCAATCGGCGTTGAGCTCGAGGCAGATTGAATTAACAATACGGTTCTCGAAAGAAGAAAGATGAAGTCAAATACTCCACCATC